CAGGCACCAATAAGCACACAATCTACCTTGCCACGCAGACAACCTCTGGAGAAGGCATGCAGGGGGAAGGTTCACCCTTGTTCCGGATGATGAAACTGAGGCCCAGTAGCACTACATGCCCATCTAAGAGCTGTATCCTGGAACTCAGTGCTACAGCTGGTAAGAAAGAGCACATTTCCATCGCTTCTCAGCCTTTTGGCTAAGATCAAGTGTAGAAAGAGCACACTTCCCAAGCTCTTGCTTTGTTCCTGCCCCCACCTTCTTCCCTTTCCCGCTTCAACAGAAAAGCTCCATCATTTGAACACCCATGACAGGAAAAATTCCTAAGGAAATTCTCCTAGAGTTCCATTTATTACATACCTTCTCTTTCCCCTAAGAGCAGTGACCTACTTAGAATGATCATATTGATTGATCCATGAATGAGACAGGGCCTTGCTATGTACTTCAGGGTGGCCTTGAACTGGTTAAGTAGCACAGGCTGGCCTGGAACTGGTAATTTTCCTGCCTAACCCTCCCACATGCTAGGATTACAGTTTTGTGCCCCAGGCCTGGCCTTAAACTATTCTTTTTTTCTCCCCCCATGCTGGGGATGGAGCCCAGGGCCTTGCTGAGCTACATCCCCAACTTTGTTCTTCAACAATTCTTCAACTGGGGGAGGTCCCCAAAGGACTGTTCCTTGCACTGGAAAAATTAAAGTTTCCTGACTCTCTACAGTTGATAGGAAAGTATTAAGTGTACTATGACTTCTAATGTTGTGGCAGAGCTAAATGCAGCTTTCCCCAAGACTGTCATTGTGAAAAGTACAGCTAAAAGATGGCCCTGATAGTCAATCAGTCACATGGAAGATGCTCGAAGCCAAATCCCCAAGCAAGGACTTTACCACAGTTAACATGAGCTTATAGGAAGAATGAGAGAAAGGGCACCCTGCTTGTGCTATTCAACATAGTTGTGACTCTCGGGATTTTTCTGATTTCTAGGGCCAAGAACACATTTTACATTGTAATATGATAATATTACATTCATGCCACTCAAGCTTGAAGGGTTTTTTGCCCTATTCTTTCAATCTTGAAGGTTTCATTTGGGCATTGTTATTGAAAAGCCAAATGAATTTTGAAAACGAAAATCCATTTTCAGTCCATCACTTCAGCACAGTTTTTTGCCCATAGACATTTCATTTTCCACATGCACACAATAAAGTTACAAACATGCAGGCCAGGCTCTGTGGAGCATGCTTGTAGTCCCAGTCTTCAGGAGGCTAAGGCAGGAGGGTGGCAAGTTTGAGGCCAGGCTGAACTACATAATGAGTTTAAGGCCATATGGAGACCCTGTCTCAAAAAATCAGGGCCAGGGATGTAACTCACAAAGTTCTGAGTTCAATTCCTGGTACCGAAAAAAAAAAAAAAAAACCAGCTTAAAATAATCAAAGAAAGTTGGATGTGGTTGCTCACACCTGTAATCCCAGCACCTGAGAGGCTGAGTTAGGGTTACTGTGAGTCTGAGGCCAGCCTGGGCTACATAGTGAGTTCAAGGCTGGCCTGAACTGCATAGTGAGACCCTGTCTCAAAAAAAAAAAAAAAAAAAAAATCAAAGAGAAAGAAAGATGACATGCTTTCCAGTTAGTATTCTGCTGTTGTTCATTTTATTAGGAATCTTTTCTGTGATTATTTTCTCCTTTCTCTGGACTTAGGTTTTTGTTGTGAATATGAAATATCTGATGGATTGATGTATCACTTCTAAACTATTCCTACAGTATTGGACATTTTGGCTAAGTTCTATTTTCATCTATTATAACACATTAGAGAATATTGTTTATATATCTGGAATTTTAAAAATTTTTGTTAACTAACTTTATTGGGAGGAATTCATGGGTATAATAATTTGATGGCTTTTCCTACATATTATCATGCTGTATTCCCCTCAGATTTTACCAATGTACAATGGAATCCACAATGCAATTTTATTACAACCTCCATAACATTATGTATTATGCTTTATAAAAACTATCAATAGCTGAGCGTGGTAGTGCACATCTGTAATTCCTGCACTTGGGAGGCTGAGGCAGGAGGATTGCTGCAAGTTCAAGGCCAGCCTGAACTACATATTGAGACCCTGTCTCAAAAAAACCAAAAACAAACAAGCAAACAAAAACTGTCAATCACAGGCTGGGTGTGTAGCTCAGTGGTAGAGTACTTGTTTATCAGGAGCAAGGCCTTGGCTTTGATCCCCAGCAGCAGCAACAATAATAGTTATAACAAGAACAATAACAACAAAACACATTAAAAATTATATTTTGCATCATGACTCAGAGAGTAGCCAGAGGTGCTTGTGCAAGAGAGTTCAGTTTGCTGTTCCTGGGTTGGCCATCAAGTGGACCGTCAGCCTTTGCTCAGTTGGCCAAGCCTGCCTTGAGAGGGGGATCAGCTCTGAAAAGACCCCTCAGAAATGGGCATTTGGGCTGGAGGTAGCACACACCACTGAGCCACCCTTCATGCAGAGCTAGTGAGACAAAGCCCCTGGAGAGAGAGAAGGCACCAACGGGCCGGGAGGAAGCCTGCAGCCCGCTCTGCTGGGCGGACACCTGGGAACCCTGCAGGAGGTGAGGGGAGACCTTGTTTTAGGAAGTCAAGGCACCTGGCAAAGACAAAGTGATGTTCCTGGAGCTGTGCACGGACTGGAGAAGCAATGACTAAAGGGAAGGACGGAGGTTCTTTACGGTGACTTCATTCTCTTGCTTATTTTTGTGGTGAATAACAGGCTTGGCAAGGGCTTCAGAGTCATAGTATGTCATTCATTCCTGTTCCCCAATGAAATCTAATGCCTTTCCATCTAGCCAAGACTAAAACAAGAGCCATAGGAAGCTGTGAAAGATGAAATTCTGAAATTCTGGCACTAAATTAGTAGATTAGTGCTTTTTGAGGGGAGGGGGACACAGGGTTTCACTATGTAGTCCAGGCCAGCCTCAAATTTGCAATCCCAAGTGCTGGGATTACAGGTATGTGCCACTAGACCTGAGTAGATGACACTTTCTAGTGTATTTAAAATTCTAATTTCTCAGAGTTCTAAGGCTTTACCTAATTTTTGTTTGTTTTATTTTTGAGACAGGGTCTTGCTGTATAGTCCAGACTGGCCTTGAACTCATATGTAGCCCAAGCTGGCCTCAGCCTCACAAGTGCTGGGATTACAGGCATGCACCACCACATCCAGGTTTTTTGTTTGTTTGTTTGGAGACAGGATCTAGAACTCACAGCAATCTTCCTGCCTCAGCCTCCAGAGTGCTGGGAGTACAGGCATGTGCCACCACACTCAGGCTTGCCTTACCTAATTTCTTTGAGAACCTTAGGCATTATGAACTTGCTGTGTGGTTTCTGCCTCCCACCTGCTTCCCAAGTTATGATTTATAAATATTCATGAGATGGCATTGGAGTAGGTTAGAAGAAACCTTTGCCCTAGACTGCAAGAGTACTTGCAGAAAGGATATTTCTCTGGTGCTCCAATGGTTAGAGAAAGGAAATTTCTAGGATTTCCCTGAGATTCAGGAGGAATTTGGTGGATTTCAGGCCTGAGAAGGGCAAGGCTGAGTTCCTAGCTGATCTTTTAGCGGTGTTGCTTCTTCCTTGTTAGAGTGACCACTGCATTCCTACCTCCTCCTCTTCTTCCTGAGTGTCCTTTCTCCTTGCATGGGGCAGGGGGGATTCAGCTGTGTGACTCAGATGAGCATACAGATATGAAGTTCACACAGCCACAGAGGATGAGGGCTTCATTTACACACTTGCAAAGATATGCATCTCCTTTTTCCTCGCTCTATTTTTTTTTGGTACCGGGGATCCAACTCAGCTCCTTGCTCTTTCGAGGCAGGTGGCAGAACCACTGAGCTAAATCCTGGGCTCTCTCCTCGATCTAGAACAGACCAAAACATTTCATTTAGTGAGAGACCCCTCCCTCAAACATCACCTTCACCTGTCTTTTTTTTTTTTTTGGTACTAGGAATCAATTCAGGGCCTCACACTTGCCAGGCAGGCACTGGGCGGCTGAGCTACATTCCCAGCCCTGCTGAGTCTTTGAACAGCCAAGACCCAGAGAGTTTTCTCTCTGTGCCTGTATCTTCTAGGCATTCCTGACAACTACATACCCTGGCCTGCAACAGCAGCCTGAGAGGCAAACTATTACCAAATTCACCTGAAAGACTCCACCTTGATCGATTAGGTCGGGGGATTGCCCCCTTAGAACATTAGAATATCCTGGGAATTAAAAACAAAACTAAAAAACGAGTTTAGGCTGTATCCCAGACCAATTAAGTCAGAAGGTCTGGGGGAATGGGACCCAGGGATTATTATTTCTAAAAGTCCCACAGGGCCAGCGTGGTGGCGCATCCCTGTAACCCCAGCACTCCACTCGGAAGGCTGAGGCAAGCAAATCGCAGCAAGTTCGAGGCCACCCAAGGCTACATAGTGAGTTCAAGGCCAGCCTGGACTACATAGAGAGAACCTGTATCAAAAGCAACAAAACAACAACAGCAACAACAACCCCCAGGTATTCCAATATGTAGCCAGGGTTCAGAACCAATAAAAGAACGGCAGTGGCATTCAATTTATCTTCCATTCTAACAAACGCATCTTTCCCTTGAATCTCCCCAACAATGAAAATGCTAAGTAGTCAATCACAGCGCTAGACCAGCAAGAAAGATTTGGGGAAAGGAGAGAAGGAAGAGGGTTATGGGAGAGGGGAGGACTTGATACACATAAATATTTTGCCGTGGAACTACGGTTGTTCACTTCGAAAACAAACACCTTCTTCCAGAAATCCTGTGGCCCTTCCCAAGGGCTTGCCGGAGAGAATGAACTTAGCCAGCCCTTGGTAGAGAGCCCCCGGAAAAGCCCCTGGTGGCGTCCTCTGCAGCCTGGAAGTACTGCACATGCGCACTTGGGCGCCGGCGGGGGGGGGGGTGTCCTCGCGGGGCCTGTTTATCTAGCACCCTCTGCTGGACGGAAATAGACGTCCCTCCTAGTGTAGCAATTGTTTATTCTGGATGAGCTCATGGATTCACTTTGAGCTCACCAGAAAGGACACGGTGTTGCCAGGAATTTCCTGGCGTTTCTCTAGCATCTAGCATACTACTGGTTTGCCTCGGGACGTTATTTCTTTGATGGCGGAACAGGAGCATAAAGGAAACTGGATGATTGTGGCTGAGAAACAGTTCTGCTGCTTCTCTGACAGACTTCGGGGTGTGTGTGATGCACGTAAGGTCTCTGCACTGGGGGAGTGTTGTGCAGTAATGGAGATACAGATCTTGGGGTGTAGCTCCCACTGGCTAAGAGAGTAATGTCTTTAAAGGGAGGCAAAATAGTTCCAAGAAGCCCGAGATATCAGAAAGACATGCGATTTAAAGTCATAAGCCATTGAAATGTGATTTTTTTTAAAAAAGGCATCAACCAAGACACAAAGCCTTGCCACTTTAGAGGTTTGCTCAACCAAAGGAAGGTGTGACGGTACTCACCAGTCAGGGGTTCATCTCCATCAGCGGCGAGTCCCTGCTCCCCAGGGGTCCTGGTGCACAGGTGCTGCTGCTATGGCTGCACGGTCCTCAGCGCCTGGCCGTCCGCTCCGCCTTGCAGGTGAAACCCAACGGAGGTCAGCATTGGCGGACTTCAACGTAACCCTCCCCTTGTTTCTTCTTCCCAGTTGCCTCAGGATCCAGAGGGTCACGGTCGGCTCAGGGAGGAAGGGATGAGGTTCCGAGGTCTGCCTCTGTCTGCCGGTGCTCACCACTGCATCTCAGCCGGGGCTGGAGAAGTCAATGCAGCAGCGGAGCTGACTGCGGCTCCCCGCGGTTGCCGTGGTAACCAGGAGCAGGCGGCTGGGGAAAGCAGTGGAGAAAAGGTAACACAGGCAGACAATCTACTGCTGGTGGCTGGCGGGGCTCTCTCCAGGGTATCTGCTGAGCCACAAGGGACATAAAAGCCGGTGGATTTTCTGGTCGGGCCCATCAAGAAAGTCCCATCTCGAGGCTCAGCTCAAACCCCAAACCAAACTCCTCCTCCTCCTCCTCCTCCTCCTCCTCCTCCTCTTCAGTGTCTTTTTTCCCTTTCTCGTCCTCCAACCCCTGCACACACACTGTCATTCAGGGTTAGCCATTCCAGCGCTGTCCCGAGACTGCCTGCACCAGAGAATCCTGCTTCATACAAAGCTAACTGTTGGTTAGGTTTCTTCTGAAAATATACCTTCAGGCAGGAAAGAAAAAGGGACAAAAGGTTGGATGCTGAGCCAATCACTTAATCTTCCGGAGTTTGAGATTTCAACAGTATGAAAGACACAGCTGTCTTATAAAATAAAAGCCACTGTGAGATTAAGTGGCCATTGTTACTATTACTATGATGATGGTGGTGGGGTGGGGCAATAATTCCAAAAGACACAATCCTGAATGATAAAAAATCCTTAAAAATCTAAAATCCCAAAAGGTCAGCACCTCAATAATATAATTTGTTGGGGCAGGGGAGAGGAGGGAATGGAGAAAAGGTTAAAAAAAGGATTAAGGTGTTATGTACCTGTATCAACTCCCCACAATGAATGTAATCATTATGTACTTCAAACATGTA